GGGGGAGGCGGTGAGCACTGAGCCCGCACACATTGTTTACAAATGATTATGTATTTTTCAGATAATTGTTAATAACCCACCTAACTGTTAATATTTTTTACATAAATGAACATTTTCGTGTTTACGGCACGAACAATGTTTTCTTTCCAAGAAATTGGGATGGGATGTTATTTGGTCAGAGTTTATGAAAGTCATTGTGTTTCAAAAGGCATCCTCAAACTACTCTTTGGGGACCTGATTTATTTTTTTAATATCTCGGATTATTTTAATAATTTCTCTTAGCCTATTTTGAAATAAGCAGCTTATCGTTGTGATCTTTTAAAGAGGATGCATCTGGTTGGCATCAGTTCATTGTCTGTGTTCTGTCACTTACGTCCCCTGTCCTCCCTCCCTGAAGTGTTCTCTGAACCCCACCCTAACCCCTTTCTCTGCTTGTTTTTGGGGACTGCCCTTCCTTTTACTTTTCTGTTGAATTCATGATGTTTGAGAAGCATCTCCATACTTGGAAATTCCCTGGTTCTTACCCTTACCTCCTTTTTTCTGGGCTCGGGGTTTCTGTTGCTTCTTTCTTCCCTGTCCCATCTACTTGGGAATCTGTTGCTAGAAGCTTCTCCTCCATGTGGGGCTCGCCCCAGGAGGAGCTTCTGGGCTGTGTCTGCCGGGCTGCCTACCAGGGCCCAGACAGGGTGGCTCAGATGAGCAACATTTGTTTTCTCCCAGTTCTGAAGGTCAGGAGTCCAAGGTCAAAGTTCTGCAGGGTTTGGTTTCTGCTGAGGACTCTCGCTGGTTTGCAGCTAGGCCTGTGTCCTCACGTGGCCTTCCCTCTGAGTGCGCTGGACTATCTCAGGCCAGTCCCACCCGCTAGCGCTCCATCCTCCGGGCCTCCCTGCAGGACATCCCAGCGCTGTCCTCAGATTGGCCAGCCCTCCGCGCCCCGGGGAAGAGCTTGTTGTTGCCATTCTGCGTTTAGACCCTCCAGTTAGTTGGCCACGTGGCTTCTTGCCTCCTTCCCTTCAGAGATGCCGGTACCGCGAGGGACTTCGGGCGTCATGGTTTGTCCCTGGGTTTGGGTTGGTTGGTTTTGTTAGATGATGAGATTTTCTGTTTTTGCTACTCTGGCTGGGTGTCCTGGCAGAGTGAAAATATGCCACCACCACCAACCTGTGAAACATGACCGCCGAAACGCTGACCCTGAATTGAATGCCACTCTTCAACTTAACCACCAATTTATGGAAGTTCGGGATCAGAGGAATACATTAGATTCGCACTGTCCAGATATGATCAGCAAAGCCCAGAATATGGGAAACTCAGCAGAGCAACTAACGTCCTCCTGGGGGGGAGAAAAAGGACAAAGGGGAGAATTATGGCTTCGAAAGAGGCCTGAGAGGAACATGGATTGGAAGCAATCCGCCCACCTTGTTAGATGCTGATTTTGGTAAAGTCTGAACGCAACTGCGGGACGGTTACACTCAAGCGAGGATCCCACATGTGGCAACACTGAGGAGCTGCTGACGATCTGTCTTGGTGTGGCATGGTTTCTACAAGTCGGCTTTGTCTGCAAATGCACATTTCTGTCCTGAAAGACGAGGACTCCCCGTCGGTCCTTGCCCCGCCAGGCTCAGCGCCGGCCGGTGAGTACCACCGGCTCCACCATCCCGGTAGGGACTGCAAGGTGGCGATTTCCCAACCTGTCACCCCTCCTATGTCGGTTAGCTGTGACTCTTTCCTGAAGAATGAATGCTCTTCGTCACCCATTTGTTTGACCTAAAAAGTGGTGTCTAGGGACAGGCAGAATGAATGCTTGGTGCTTGTCCTTGATCAGTTTTCTGGGCAGTGACTTTATGCCCTCCAGAATCGACCAGCGAGATCATCTTTGTTTGTAGTATCGTTATGCATGCATATAGTTCTCTGTCTTTGGTGGGCTTCCCTACCGAGTCACCGTTTTCTTCTTCGATGGTCACATTGTGCCCTCTTTGGCCACTGGGGACCCCACCAGGGGAGTTTCATGTCATTTGATTAAGACCCTTTTCTCTCTCTCTCTCTCTTTTAAAAGATTTTATTTATTTATTTATTTGGCAGAGACACAGTGAGAGAGGGAACACAAGGAGGGGGAGCGGGAGAGGGAGAAGCAGGCTCCCCGCAGAGCAGGGAGCCCGATGCGGGGCTCGATCCCAGGACCCTGGGATCATGACCTGAGCCGAAGGCAGATGCTTAACAACTGAGCCACCCAGGCGGCCTGTTCTATTTCTTACACAGAAGTTTTCATACTGTGTGTTGGCTTAACCAACTGAGCCACTCAGGCGCCCGAGTTTGTGAATTCTTGTTACAAGTTGAACTTGATGGTTTAAATTTTCATTGGCCATGAATGAGACAGAACCTGTAAGTCCATTTGAGAGTGTGCGTGTGTGTGCAGACAGGCCCAGCACAGTTGTAGAAATCAACCTATTATTAAATCTGTACATCTGGGGGCGCCTGGGTGGCTCAGTTGGTTGGGCGACTGCCTTCGGCTCAGGTCATGATCCTGGAGTCCCGGGATCGAGTCCCGCGTCGGGCTCCCTGCTCGGCAGGGAGTCTGCTTCTCCCTCTGACCCTCCTCCCTCTCATGCTCTCTGTCTCTCATTCTCTCTCTCTCAAATAAATAAATAAAATCTTTAAAAAAAAAAAATCTGTACATCTGTCTCTGGGGTTTTTCTTTCACTTTTCACTGTACAGAAATTGAGTAGGGTTTGAAACAGTGAGACTGTCACCTTTGTTTTAGGACTTTTACATTACTTTTCCTAAGAAGCCAGCACAGAGGTAAACGTATTTGTGTGGGTTAAAGCAGGTGTGTGTGGGGCCTGGGCCTGACCTCGAAATCCAATTAAGAATCTGGATTTTATATCAAACAACTGAGAATCGCCCCAGGAGTCTGGAGGACAGGCTCGGGGTGGTGTTTTTGGTCACCGTAGTACCGCTGAGATGCTAACAAAGCTGTAGATTTTGCTGGTTGGTGATCCTCTTAAAATTAAATCACCAAATATTTAGGAATATTAAATTCTTTTTTTTTTTTTTAAGATTTTATTTATTTATTTGACAGAGAGAGATAGTGAGAGTGGGAACACAAGCAGGGGGAGCAGGAAAGGGAGAAGCAGACTCCCTGCCGAGCAGGGAGCCCGATGCGGGACTCGATCCAGGGACTCCAGGATCATGACCTGAGCCGAAGGCAGTCGCTTAACCGACTGAGCCACCCAGGCGCCCTAGGAATATTAAATTCTTAATAATAGTCTTGTTTCAGGGCGCCTGGGTGGCTCAGTCGGTTAAGCGACTGCCTTCGGCTCAGGTCATGATCCCAGGGTCCTGGGATCGAGACCTGCATCGGGCTCCTTGCTCTGCGGGAAGCCTGCTTCTCCCTCTCCTGCTCCCCCTGCTTGTGTTCCCTCTCTTACTGTGTCTTTCTCTGTCAAATAAATAAATAAAATCTTTAAAAAAAAAAAAAGTCATTTAATAAAGCTCTTTAATGTATCTCTTTGTTGTCTAGTGTAAGTGGTATTAAAAGTAGTCACTTGAAATAAGCTATTTAAAATAAGCATCAAAATTTCCAAGTGAAGAGGTGCCTGGGTGGCTCAGTCATTAAGCGTCTGCCTTTGGCTCAGGTCATGATCCCAGGGTCCTGGGATCGAGCCCCGCATCGGGCTCCCTGCTCCGCGGGAAGCCTGCTTCTCCCTCTCCCGCTCCCCCTGTTTGTGTTCCCTCTCTCGCTGTGTCTCTGTCTGTCAAATAAATAAATAAAATCTTTAAAAAAAAAAAAATTTCCAAGTGAAGAGTGAAAAATGATTAGGACTGTGTTTTGAAAAATGAAACTAAAAATCATGACCAAGTTTTGTATTTAGTGCCACTGAGCTTGTAACTGAAATTATATGCTGATTCTTGGAACAAACCAAAAATGAGTTGTGTGAATTTGGGAAGAACACAATTTGTGTGGTAGGATTATAGTATATTCTTCAACACACAGTTGATTTTCACAGCATGATCTTATTTTTTTATATAAACATGTCTGAAGCCTTTGTTCGTGTTTTAGCATTCAGATTATTCCCTCCGGAATGCTGACAGTCCTTGTGATTTCTATTCTTCAGTTTCAGCTAGTCTCAATCGGCCTGATACACAGTTTATCAAGTCTTGCATCTCTTGTCGTGCCTGGGCTTTCTTACCTGATTTCTGCGGCAGCTTTGTTCATCCCCGGGGGCCGGAGGCGTGAGCACCACAGATGCCGGGCTCGCCGACTTGGTCAGTGACGCTCACAGGCACCCGGCTGGGGGACGTGTGGGGCAGTCATTTTACAAATGGTCTTTAGGGAACAATCCTGTGTTCGGGCGACTTTGCCTCTGATCGCAAGCTCAGTTGGGAGGATTGGACGCTGAGGGCCTCCCGTGCTGCCTGTGGTTCTCAGGGTGGTCCCGAGAGCGGCTGAGGCCTAGCTGCGCGGACAGACGGGGCACCACGGACCTCTGTCCCACCCCCGGCCCCGCCTGGTGACGTCAGAAAGACCGAGATGTTTGCTCTACCACCAATGTTAACAAACGCATACCTTTAAAAAGTCTTCAGTGTGAATTTCATTTCAAGGATTTAAATGGCTGTATCCCATCCTGACTATTTTCTTTCAACAAACTCAAGCAAGTAGAGAAAGCTTCCGAGAGCACCCCGAGTGTGCCGCGTGCTGGAACAACACCAATTAAGAACTTGGCTCTGCAGTTTGTACAAGCAGGTGGGATTCCGACGGCCTTCTAGGAGACGATAACTGTGATAAACTGGTTTTGAGTTAAAATTCAACTCCATTTCTTCATGGAAGGCATACTCTATTGGTACCTATTAGTGGTGGCCCTAATACTGTGTGTGGTATACATATATATGTCTACAGCAAAACACTATATAATCAAAACAGCTGGCTTTGGGGCGCCTGGGTGGCTCAGTCGGTGACGTGTCTGCCTTCGGCTCAGGTCATGATCTCGGGGTCCTGGGATCGAGTCCCAAGTCGGGCTCCCTGCTCAGCAGAGAGCCTGCTTCTCCTTCTCCCTCTGACCCTCCCCACTCGTGCTCTCTCTCTCTCTCTCTCAAATACATAAAATCTTAAAAAAAAGAACTAGCTTTTATGCATATATGTACCAGCCACAATACTGGGTATATTTAGCGCTTTTAACATTTCCAGTTGATCCACACTATTACTCTCCCCATTTTAAAGATGACAAGCTGGATGTTAATATTCAGCAGCTGAATATTAACTGAGTATTGAGTCAGGATTTCTACTCGGTACCGGCTGGGTTTTCAGTTACAATACACGACGAGCATTCTTCACTGGGCGACTGGTCCCAGCCAATGACGATTTATGTCATTTACTGATTCCATAGACATTTCCCGTAAATCATTTTATGTATAAGGTAACTTGGGGAAGGAGGAAAGAGAAAGTAATTCAGATGCAGAAAGACATGGGTTTGAGACCACGTGAAATCCACGAGCCCAAACTCTTCCCTCTGTAAGTAGTGATTTCTTCCTTCAGTATCCGCCGGCCGTGCAGGTGGCCACGGTCCTGTGAGGGTGAGTGCCGCCACCCCCCATCCCCGACCCCGCGGTGGGTCTCGCGGAGCACCGCATGATGCCAATCTAGTTACCACAGTGACCAGGACTGACACGTTTATCCATCTCCCATTTTAAAATTTTATTATGGAAGATAACACAAGAATTTTATGTCTTTTCGGATCCAGAAAAACCATCAGAAATCACTTTTCAGAGAACGGGTAATAAGACAACAATGAATTTGTCCCCTTGATCCCACGTGACTTGGAGCTTTAATGGTCTTCAGGAAATGCTCAGCAAACTTTCCTTTTGAATCATTCACAGCCATTTTAGATGATAAAATTTAAAACTTTCTATTATGGAGACTAGTGAAGTTAGTATAAGATACGGTTAATACAGTTAAGAAGATGGTATAAGGACCCCGTCTATCGCCATCTAGTGTCGACAAGTAACAAATACGTTTATAAGCCACTGATGCTCCCAGATGACATTATTTCACGCCCATATAATTATGCGATTAATGTTTCATAAGCCCTGAAACTGTATCTCAGGCCTGATGGCCCTGTGCATTTCCTTATCTCTCTAAAATAGGAGGGTTCTGTTTTTCTCCCCTTGAGTGTCAAGGAGTTTTTAAGAGTAAAAAGTAAAGGGTGAGTAAGAAATACAACTGAATTGAAACTTGTTATTTCCACCTAAAAACATATTAAGCTGTTTTCAATAAGAAAAAAAATTCCCTTGGGGCGCCTGGGTGGCTCAGTCGTTAAGCGTCTGCCTTCGGCTCAGGTCATGATCCCAGGCTCCCGGGATCGAGTCCCGCATCGGGCTCCCTGCTCAGCGGGGTGCCTGCTTCTTTCTCCCTCTGCCTCTGCCTCTCTCTCTCTGACTCTCATGAATAAATAAATAAAACATTCAAAAAAAAAAAAGAAAAGAAAAAAAAATCCCTTTTAAAAAGAGGATACTCATGTTTCTGATTTTCTGATACATTTTTTTCCTAACGAAGGCTGGTTTCTTTTTAAGATATAAAACCCGTTTGGTTTTATCTTTGAGAAATAAACGGTATTTTTGACTTGCTGAGAATTTTCTTAAAAATGAAAATAACCATGTTTTGGTTACACAGCAGTAGGTGTTAGTTTTAAAAATATCTCGACAATATATACAAATATGAAGGCCATCTACAATCAATCATATGCTGTGAGAAAAACACCGTGCGTGACCTCATGGTTCCCTTTTATGCATATGCACTTTTCAATTTTATTGTTTTATTTTCCTTCCATCCTCTTCCCACCCAGGTAACCAATGGCAACAAACTGGTAGGTGTCGCTCCCTAGCGTTCTCCATTTTATCATATTGTGTGTGTGTATACAAATTTAATGAGTTTTTAATACCTTTAATTATTTGAACAGAGCATGCATAATACATTCATCTGGCCCCAAAATGAAGGAGCACTCCAAGGCAGACTGGTGAAAAGTCACCCCCTCCGTGCAGCTCCAGCCTCTCCCCAGTGGGTAATGGCCTTTATTAGTTTCTTACGTATCCCGCCATGCTTGTTTATAGACCATTTTACTACCATTTAAGAAACATGAAAGTTAGCTGATTTAGACATTATGCCTTTTGCTTTTTGCAGCGTAGCCTGCAGATGTTTTCATTTCGTGTATTGAGATTTCTCTCTAAGTAATTGCACAGCATCGCGGCTGCGTGGGCATAGTTGGGTTGTTTACTACTTCACTATAACAGACGTTGCTTGGACATGTGTCATCTTGTGTGTGTGCAGTCCTACCTGCAGGACGTTGCTCGCCTGGGTTGTGGGTCACAGATGAATTGATAGCTGCTCCTTGCTGGTCTCTGTAGCCCGCAGCTGGCCGGGTGGGAGAGCTCCCGTTTTCCCATGGCTCCGAAAACAACGTGTGTTACTAAACTTTTGTAATTTTGCCATTAAGATAAGTGGAAAGTGGTAATTCGGTGTGGTTTTAATTTGCGTTTCTCTTACGAACAAACCACTCCTCGCTTACTGTTGGGATCATACGTGGGCAGCCTCTTCAGACTGGCTTTTGTCACTTAGCACTTGACATCTCTCCTGTTCCTCCTGTCTTTTCATGGTTTGACAGCTTTTTTTTTTTTTTTTTTTTTTTTTTTTTAGTGCTGAATGCTATTCCACCCTCTGGATGGACCAGTGGACCAAAGTTGCAACTCCTTTGTTGTAAATACCATGGAGCACAATTGCTGGATCCTGTACTAAGGTATGTTAGTTTTTTTTTAAGATTTTATTTATTTATTTAACAGAGAGAGACACAGCGAGAGAGGGAACACAAGCAGGGGGAGCAGGAGAGGGAGAAGCAGGCTTCCCGCTGAGCAGGGCGCCCCGACTCTTCCTAATTTATTTTTATTATTTTTTTAAAAGATTTTATTTATTTGACAGAGAGAGACGGAACACAAGCAGGGGGAGTGGGAGAGGGAGAAGCAGGCTCTCCGCGGAGCAGGGAGCCCAATGCAGGGCTCGATCCCAGGACCCTGGGACCATGACCCTGGGACCATGACCCTGGGACCATGACCTGAGCCAAAGGCAGACGCTTAACGACTGAGCCACTCAGGCGCCCCTAAGGTATGTTAGTTTTGTCAGCAACCACCCAACTGTCTTGCAAAGAGGTTGCTCGAGTTTGCATTTGCCCCTGCTGTGGAGAAGACTTCCGTTGCCTTGGATCATGCTGGGAAGTCCTAGTCGTCTGAGCCGTAGTCACTGCTCAGCAAAGCAGTTTTGTTAAATTACATTTCCTTTGGAAAATAAATACTTCACTGAGATCTGCTTTATTTCCATACATTTAAGCAAATTGTTCTCTCCAATTTAATTTTCTTTCTGCAGTTAATTCTCCTTTATCATTTATTTTACATTTGAACATTCTCTTACTGTTCTTAGGTTGAAAAATAGAGGTTCTTAAGATTGCTCTCACATTTTTTATGTTTAATACCCCCCCTCCCTCTTCATTAGTTCCTTTCTTCTTTACTTGGAACTGTTGGGATCCTTTTCTAATTTCTTTAATTTCAGCCTTAAACATTTGAAAACATTAATTCTTATTTGTTAACAAATTACATTAGACCACACACTTTTATCTGACCAATGCTTTGCTTATTTGAGCTGCTTCTGTATCAAAGTGTCACTTTCTACGTAACGTGAAATTTTATTTTATGTGCTCTTTCAATATTCAGGATAGGTTTTCAAACAGTTCCCAAATGGTGTGTTTTGCTTCACCCCCAGCTTCACTGAGCTGTAACTGACACACCGCACTGCCTAAGTCTGAGGTGTCCAGCGCATGACTGAGCGGGCCGGTATGTTGTGAAACGGGGAGCAGTCACCCCACGTGATTACCATTTGTTGTTGTTGCTATGGCGACAACATCCAGGATCTACCCTCTCAGCAACTTTCGAGGACACAGCGCATTGTTGCGTGTTGTCACATGCTGTACACTGGATGGCCGGGACTTACTGTCCCTACCCCGGGAGTGGGGACTGTGTGCCCTCTGACCTGCGCCCCCTGCCGCGCCCCCCCGCCCCCCCGCCCGCAGTGGTCACTCTTCTCCTCTTTGTTCCTCACTACATTCTTCTATTTGCAAAGCTGTCCTTTCTCCTAGTCCTCCAGTGAGACACACTTTAAAATTCATCTTCTACTTTTAACTTTCTCCATGTGTATCCCTTTAGACAGATGGGATGTTTTTCTCCATTTTACGTTTTAGTTGGTTATGGGTAACATACAGAAAAAACAGTGGTTTTTTTTAGTGGTAGTTATCTTGAATCCCACTGCTTTAACACACTCATTTGACACATCTTTTGCTTTTTCTGGGTACTCAGTCACATTTAGCAAAAAGAGACTGTATTATGATGTTCCTAATATTTATATTGATTTTTTTTGTTTTCTATTTTTGGATCTGCTGGAAACACTAATAAATTTGGACAACAGTGGCAATTATGAGTATCAGTGTCTTGATTTCAGTGGAAAAAGCATTAGTGTTTACTGTTTTAAGTTTATTTTATTCTTATTCCTTCTTTGGCAAGTGATTTTGAACATATTTAAGATTTTTATGTATAGAGCTTTTACTAGAAATGGTTAGTAATTTTGACAGTGCCTTTTCAGCCTCTACTCATAATAATTTGGTTTTTCCTCCATTGTTTGATGTAACTTTTTAATGTTGATAGATTTCCTAATGTCAATCATTGCTGAATTTCTGGAATGAACCCTGCTTGGTCATAGCATTTCTACGTCCTCTGTTAATTTTTGTATCTGTGTTCATAAGGGAGATTGAGCAGTGGGTTTCTGGTTTTGCATTACCATTACCAGGTGGTGGTGCTGGGCTTTGGGAGCAGATTGCTAGGCTTGAACTGTAACACCCACCCCCTGCCCCCCGCCGCCGGATGGGCGCCCCGGACCACTTGCTCTCTTCCTGTGAGCTGCCCCACCCGTGAGATAAGACCACGTGCAACACTGAGCTCACAGGTCTGCTCTGAAGATTGCAGGAGGTGAGGAATGAGAAGCACGCAGACGGGCTGACATATGGTACAGTTTTAAATGTCAGAAAAGGTTGTGCTGTCTTCTCAAAATGAAATGCAGATCTTTCTATATTTTCTATAGTCCAGAATTATATAAGGAATTGGTCTACTGACTTCAGCCTTATACTGGAAGCATAAAATATTGTTGTCAGGGTCTTGCAGTGATGAGGACACCTGAGATGGGAAGGAAAGATCTGAACTGAAAGTGTTTTTAGAGAAGAAAAGGCATTGGTGGTTGGTCTTTCCAAAGCAGAGAGAGAAGGCGGCACAGGAATGCTGTTCCCCTCCCGGAAAGGGCAGAAAGAAGGAAATTGAGGGTTTATCTCCTCGGTGGTATAGCTCATGCTCTTCTCTGCAGCCCTCAGACTCTCCGGAAAAACCTTTGACACACTCCCTCTCATCTTGTAGGTAAGCTCTACGCGCAGTGTGGAGTCCAACGTGGGGCTTGAACTCAAGACCTGAGCTGAGACCAAGAGTCAGATGCTCAACCGACCGAGCCACCCAGGGGCCCCTCTCTCATCTTTTAAAAACCTGTGGTCAAGCTAGACCTCTTTTTTGATGGGTCATTAAATAGCAATATATTCCAGGAAAGTGGGGGTTTCTTTTTTTCTCTTTATTTAAACTAAGAGAATTATTCTTCAACTTAGGAACAGACTTGTGTTTCTAAAATGAAGTCTCATGTTGACAACTTTACGTGCAAAGTTATGTGGAAATAGGGAACTACAAAGTTGGAGACTGAGTTCCTGGTTAGTCCACAGATGTCTTATTTGACCACGTTCTAGAGTTATTTATTTTTTAAGATTTTATTTATTTGTTTGGCAGACAGAGCACAAGCAGGGGGAGCGGCAGGCAGAGGGAGAGGGAGAAGCAGGCTCCCCGCTGAGCAGAGAGCCCAATGCGGGACTCGATCCCAGGACCCTGGGATCATGACCTGAGCCGAAGGCAGACGCTTCACGACTGAGCCACCCAGGCGTCCCTAGAGTTATCTTTGAAAAGAGGAGGGCAAACCGTGAGACTCCCTCACTCTCGATGACGTCTGATGTCGTTTGGAGTAAGAGATAAACTTCTTATCTTGACTCTTCCGTGTGCTTCTACCCAGAATGATCTTGCTCCAGGCACAATATTACTCTACCCATTCGGTGAATACACCCGGCTCGTCCCCTTCTTGGGATCTTTACATCTTCCATTCCACTTGCTTGAAAGGTTTTCGAGTGGCTGGCTCCCCGTATTGGCCACCCTTCTGTGGTGTTGCCGCAGTCTCCGTGGGAGTTCTTCTGTGTTCTTGATAGAGTCAGGACTGTGGGTGAGTGAAAAAAATTAGTGTACCGGTGGCTAATCTGTCCCACGCAGCATTCTTCATCCTGGGAGCGAGGTTTTGAAGTGGGCCAGTCAGCTCATTGAAAAATGTGGGAAAAAAATATTTGGTGGAACTGTATGAAATTAGATATTTTACACTTTGACCTACAAAGTGGTCATTTCATATGATTGCTCCTAATGCTTTGGCATCTTCCTGGCTCTTTGAGTATTTCTCATTAACATTCTCACATGGGGCATAGCTCTTGCCTCTTCCCATCCAGGTGTATTATTCTACCAAACTGCAATTTGTTTCCTCTCCAGATTTCTAACTTTTTCTGTCCTTCCCCCAACTAAAATTTCCATTCTTAGTCCGGCTAATCTCAGCTACTGGGTGAAAAGCCGTCGGAAAAAATTTGTATTAACTTGAGACAAGTTGGTAGCTCTTTGCTCCTACTAGAGTTATTGGCATTTAAAGAAGATTCTGGGTAACCCATGCACAGTTTCAGTTGACAAAATTTAAGACACTTTGAGAAAGTGAAATGAAACAATGCATTGTGGATGGTTGTATTTGTCAATGTATATTTTTCTATTACACACATGACAGAATATCTACACCAAAATGGCTTAAGTAAAGAGTATTTATTTATACGCGGTGAGAAGCGTAGACTTCTCCCACCCTCCACACACACACCAGAAACAAGTAAAAAAGACTGGACAAAATAGATAAAACAGTGGTTTTTAAGACACTGAAATTCAGGCAATAACAAACAGGATCTCTGACATGGACAAGAAAGGAGGTGAGCCCCTCAAATACTCCAGCTTGCTGCCTAGAGAGAGTTTGAAAGCTGTGGCCTTGGAGGGTGACCCAGGTGGAGCCCAGCATCCTCCCTGAGTTCAGGGGATGGACTTGGGGATCAGAGGAGCAGAGTCAACTGGGGTGTGCAGGGTGGGGTCCTGGAGGGAGTCTCAGAGAGAGAACTTCATAGGTCTGCAGAGGTTCCTTCTTTGTGTCTTTATCTGAGTACTAGTGCGGGGGGCATGGTGGGAACTCCCAGAGGATTAGAGAAGATGCATCTCAGAGCACACATGTGGCTGAGAATAGTTCATGTTCCCACCAGTCAGAATGAAAACTTTGTACTTCATGGGCATTTTAGGTAAAGGCTTTTGTCTCAGAAATGGTGCAGAATGGGACTTAGACTTACAAGTTGGTCTAGTCTTGCCTAAAAACTTAAAATCAAGACCTGAAGGGATTAAATTGTTTCCAAATAGCTTAATACATCCCAGACGAAAGCTCGAGAATATTTAAAGGAATACAAAAACATTCAACAATCAACGGTGTAAAATTGACAATGCTTGGCAACCAATAAGAAATTACAAGGCATGCATAGAAGCCAAAAAATGTGACCTATAATAAAAGGAAATATCGATTCAAAAACCAATCCAGAAAATGGCACAGATTTTAAGATTAGTAGTAAAAGATATTCTCACATTTATTGTAACTATGTTCCATATGTCAGGAAGCTAGAGGAAAGATTGAACATGGCGTGCAATATTGATCTCTAGAGATGAAAACAATTCTGTAAAAAAATACTTTGGATGGGATTAATGGCAGATGAGACATGACAGAAGATTAGTGAATAGGAAGATGCAGAAATAGAAAATATCCAAAGTGGAACAGTACAAAAAGTGAATAAAATCAACAGAGCACCAGTGATCTGTGGGATAACTTCAGTGTCCTGATGTAGGTACACCTGGAGTCTGAAGGAAAGGAAGTGGGGAGACAAATGGAAACATGGGCTGAAATACTCCCAAATTGATGAAAGACTACACCCTCACAAATCGAAGAATCTCAATGAGCTCCAAACACAAGAGACATGAAGAAAATTACAGAAAGCAGACTATGATCACATTTCTTTTTTTTTTTTTTTTTAAGATTTTATTTATTTATTTGAGAGAGAGAGAATGAGAGACAGAGAGCATGAGAGGGAGGAAGGTCAGAGGGAGAAGCAGACTCCCTGCCGAGCAGGGAGCCCGATGTGGGACTCGATCCCGGGACTCCAGGATCATAACCTGAGCCGAAGGCAGTCGCTTAACCAACTGAGCCACCCAGGCACCCCCTATGATCACATTTCTTAAAAACCAGTGATCAAGAAGAAAGTCTTAAAAGCAGCGGGAGAGTGGGGAGAGACATTCGGTGTCTGGAGAAGAACAGATAAGAAGGGCAGCGATTTTGCATCTGAAACAATGTAAGTGAGAAGACAGAGCAGCATCTTTAAAGAACTGGACAGAAAACAAAATCCCAAATTGATATTTTGGAATTCTGTAGTTAGAAAAAATAGCCTCCAAAAACAGAGGTGAAATAAAGACATTTTTGGGCATACAAATGCTGGAAGAATTAGTTACCTGGAGATTCCACTGTAAGAAATGCAGGACAGTAACACCAGGTGAAATCTGGATCTATACAGGGAAAAAGGATACCAGACAAGGTAACTATTTGGGTACATATTTTTCCTACTGTTTAATCTCTTTGTAACACAATTGATTGTTTAAAGCAAAATTAATACTGATGTAATGTGAGGTTTATTTATTCATTTTTAAAGCTTTATTTATTTATTTTAGAGAGAGAGAAGAGTGAGGGGGCTGGGGCAGGAGCAGAGGGAGAGGGAGAGAAATCTGAAAGCAGACTCCCCACTGAGCACAGAGCCCCACACAGGGCTCGATCCCAGGACCCCGAGACTATGACCTGAGCTGAAACCAAGAGTTGGCTGCTTATCCGACTGAGCCACCAGGTGCCCTGTAATGTGAGGTTTAATCACGTAGGCACAGGTAAAATGTACCAGCTCAGTTGCATAAAGGCTAGCAAGGCTGAAAGGGAGTATACTGTTACGCGGTTTTTACACTATACCCGAAGTGATGGAGTGTCACTTGAAGGCAGACGGTACAACTTCAAGATGTACACCATATACTCTAACACAGCCACTTAAAGACAGGTAACCAATAAGGAAATAATGGAGGTAAAATAGGATCACTAGAAATGCTCAATCTATAGAAAGCAGAAAAAGAGGAAAAGGGGGAAAAAGAACAGATGGGACAAATAGAGAGCAGATGTCAAG